GAGTCCCCAAGTCCCAGACTAGAGGCAGGAGAGCCCATCCAGCGTCTGTCAGCCATAGGAGTGAGCATGGCACCAAGATCCTCCATGTCAGTTTTCCACCTGCTTGTAAACTACGTGGCACTTGCTAAGCATGGCATGACATGGTGACATGGAGCTCAGAACGACACAGAGACATCCCTGGGCCAAGCCAGCTCAGGAGAATGGTAAGGAGGCAGCTTCTGCCTTGTCCCCGCTACTCAGTCCCAGACCCTCACAGCAGCCCAGGGTCAGTCCTGCAAGCGCTCACATTCACTCTGGGCAGGTACAGGATTGAAGGATTTCTCCTCAATTACACCTGAAAACCAGTCTGCTAAGATTTGGGGTAGTAAATAGTAGAAGGGCTCAAACGCCCTTCTAGTGAAAAAAAGGGGAGGGTGGGACTCTGGACCTTTCTCACTGTAACAGAGTAGAGCTGAGGTCCTGGAGATGCTGACCAAGCAGGATTTATGACATTATGGTTGGAATTTATGACATTATGGAACTGGGAATAGGAGCTCACCTGAGTATCACCAGGCAGTGGCTCCCACAAGCTGTAAGCTCTCTGAGAGCTATGAAACCTACTCTTTGCCTCCACCAGCTTTGCTTGGCTATAGCAGAGGAGGGTAAGCAGAGTGGTCCTGGCAGAAGAGTCACACCGAAAGGCAGGACAGATCCCCTCTTTCTGCAAGGTGCCCCCAAACAGCACATTTATAGCCTAAGCCCTAATCTCAGGCCCTTCATCTTTGTATCACTGCTCAGTTTCCCCAAGTGGGATCAAGGTTTCTGGACCTGGGAATCAAGTAAGGGGACATTTGCCTTGGGGAAGAGGAGGAAGAGGAGAACAGGTGCTATGAGAAGTCCCTTGTATTCAATGCACTGAACAACAAAAAGCTGGTGCTGCAGAGAAAGAGGAAAACTTCCAGCCCATGGCCCCATGACAGAGCTCATGGGAGGCTCTTGGGCACAGACTGCTCCTGGGAGGCATCACAGCACCAGGATGGGAAGGGGGAGTTGGGTAGAAGGAAAAAAAGGGGACCTGCAAAAGTGACAATGGGACTGCCACTGTAGAGGGGGTTGTTGCATAAGTGGGGAGAGAAGGGACTAACTGGTTGCCTTATCTTTGTGCTGAGATTGTTTCTGGTGGGAAGGTGCTGGTGGTCAGTGGGAAGAGCCAACCCTGACCCCATAGGAGGGAATTGCCCCAGGAACAGGGCACTCCTCTGCCCCAGCCCAGCCCTGACACTTGGGGACCCAGGTATTCTTACCTGTAAGAGACTTGCTTTCTGATGGCCAAGTGCAGGAACTGCTCCTCCACCTCTGCCACAGCCACTGCCCCTCTCATCTCCTCCCAAGCCGGATCCATGCTGCAGAGGCCCAAGCGCTGTGCTCTCCCAGTGCTCTCTGCATCTGCTGCTCCTTGGAGGCTTGCTGCAGCCCCCCTGGCCACCTCAGGATCACTCCTGGCAGGGGAGAAATCTCTCCAGCTCCTGGGACCTTCTGCCATGCTGAAGCGAGGTGTCTCTCTAGGCGAGGAGTCCTCCAGAACTTCTTGGGCAGCCTGGTCTTGTCCCACAGAGTCCCACGGCGCTGCTCCGCTTTGCCTCCCCAGGGCCGTGGGACAATCCCAGCGAGGCTTAACTCCCTGAGGAAGCACAAACGAGAGAAAAAGCAGCGTCCAACTTTTTGCAGTGGTATTTATCAGCCTCCTGATAGTAGCTTGGGCAGCTCAGACACAGCAGTTCAGCCTCACGCTGTCTCTGCTGCCCTGCCACTCCGAAGCAGAGGAATATCTGAGAGAAACAGGGAGACGCTGGTGCCACTCCTCGGAGGTGCCGGCACTGAGGGCAGCAGGGAGGGAGTGGGAAACACAGCGTTCGCTGGTGAAGGGGTCTTAGGAGAGAGCACGGTCCAGGGATGGCGATGCTGGCAGCAAGCGAAAGAGAGCTTGGATTGCCTTCTGCGAGGGTCCCTTGCCAGGCACGTCACTCAGCGTCCCCAGCAGCAGAAGCCGAGCAGGAGCAGCAGGCTGAGATAGGCAGCGAGGAAGGTGCCTGTGCACTGCAGCAGCTCGCAAAAGACAAAGCAGAAAGTGAGCGTGAGTGTGTGGTGTGTGCTTTGTGCGTGGGGAGGGGGCTGCGGGGAGCTGCACGGAGCAGGCAGCCTGGTGTCACCTTAGAGACACTCGAAACTGGCACTTAACCCTTTGGAGTCTGGAGAGGCAGAGGAGGGTGACCACTCAGCAAACCCCTCTCTGCTCGCAGTCCAGCTGGCATCTGCCTGCCTACGAGGGCTGCTCAGGGTGCTGGGTCTCAGCCACTTGTCTTAACCGGACCTGCCATCAGGTGAAGTCAGGCAGCCTGGAAAACTGCATGACAGCAGCCACAGCAGAGCAAAGTACCCATTGTTGTGTCCAGTTATCCATCATGAATGAGATCTGTCCGGGGACAGGGTCCCTGGCAATGGGCAGTGGTACTCAACCAAGCAGAGGTATGGCTGCAGCATGGCCTCCCTCCTCCCAGCTGGCTCAGCTCCTTGCCACTTAGGAGGCCACATTATCCCTGATTTTTTGTAATTCAAGACAATTTTTTCTCCAATCTTGGCATCCAGAGGTAGAAAGGCCCTTCTGTTCTCTGCCCATATCCATCAGGAGAATTGTGTCATGTGTTTGTCCTGGGCTGGGACTGGACTTTGTGACCCCTACCTCAGCCTTGCCCACCCTGGTGCTGTGGATGCCAGCTGGGGTGAGAAATCCATGCAGAGTTCCCATATGTGCCTGATGTGTTCTGCCCCTAAGTCACATGCTGAGGCTTTACCTGCTTTACCTGCTAGGCACTGGAAAATTTGAATTTCAGGTCTATAAGAGCTAGCCCCTTGCATCATGACAAGGCCCGACAGTCATGAATTACACCAAGAACACATTGCTATCACTCCTAATTCCAGTGTCATCCCATGAAGGTCTGGCATGACTGGAGCTGGAACCTGTCCTCAACATGCTCTGACTGTTGTATTACCTTGGGAGTTGACAGGAGCAGCTCATTCGTCTTGCCAGCACTACCCATCACCTCCATGTGGCCCTGTGGCATCTCTGCTGCAGGGTGCTGTGGCACAGCACATTCCCATGCCATTCCTGACCCCAACCTCAGAAGCAGCAGGGGCTGGAGAAGGGCTGTGGCTTTCCCTGGGAACCACAGCCCATTGGCACCTTCAGTTCAAGTTACCTAACCTTTGTCTGGTCCTAAATGTAACTGTGCCATCTCCCCCTGTCTATTCCTGCTGGGGAATTGGTGCCTCCCAGGGGCACGGCAGCCCCCGAGCCCACTCCTCCACAGAACGTGACTGGCAGGGAGCCCTGCACCCTCCTTGCTGTGTGACTCAGCCCCTGCAGCCCCCACAGAGCTTTTGTTCCCCATTAAAGGTGGAGTGCTGCTGGCTGAACCCTCCCTAATGAGCACAGCTGGCCCTGGGGAAGCAGCTTCACCCTCGCTTGCTGGGACAGAGACCTGCCTGGGGAGCTTGCCAGTGCTCCTGCATGGATGCATGGCCTTGTTCCATGTCCTCTTGCTACCCACCGGCACTGCAGAGGCTGGTAGCAGACAGGAAAGGGAGAAGCAGCAGATGCCCAGCTCGTGCAGAGGGACCTGTGGCACCTCGGTTCTTCTCACCACCCATGGGGCAATGCCTCCCTCCCTGCCCTGGGGCTGTCTCTAGCCTGGGGGTGCCCCTGTTGCCATGGACTTATGAGAGCCACCTTCACCTGTGCTGGCCGGGCTGCCAGGGCAGGACAGAGCTGGGGCTGCCCAGAGGAGCTACTGGGGATGCAGGTCCACTCCTGTGCTCAAGAGATTTTGGCTAACATCTGTCTTGTCCCTTATGATTAAAGGCCACCAAGCTGAGGAAGGTGATGGCCAGTCAGGGATGGATGCAAGTTGAAAGCTGGGGGACAGCAGGGTCCAGACTTCCAGGTTAGAAGGAATGGAGAGCATTTCTCACTGGTGGATGTGTTGGTGCCGTAGGAAAGGAGCTTCAGGGTGGGAAGCAGAGGCCCTTATTGCAGGAAATGTCCCAAGAGCCAGGTACAGCAGAGCTCTGGGGTCACAGCACCTTTGGTCAAGGCAGAGAGAGGGGCTGGACAGTGGGTACCTCCTGCCTTCCCATGGGGCCTAATCCTGTGCTATAGAAACCTTCTCTGCAGGGAGGAGCTGCCCCTTTCTATCCATGTGCCAAACTGTACAGCTGTCACACAGGCAGGGCAGGCCAGATTTTGTATGTCTGAAGGAGACATTGCAGGATATGCCTGCATGAGGGGATGTAAAGTATTGCTCAGGCTTCTGCATCTTTCTCTGCCCACCTGTCTCAGCAGGACGTTTCATGTGTCTGTCGCAAATAGGGTCACCCTTCACTTGGAGCTCCCTGAGGACGTGGGAAGAGCAGGCAGATGCTGCCTGGGCACTTGTGTTGGGTCAGTCCTGTCCTCCTGGCACCCAAGGCACCCTTCAGCTGAGCCAGGTCACCTGTTTACATGGCACTCATCTGCTTACCTGGGGCATAGGCAGGAGGACACCTCTCCTGTGCCCTGGATAGGGGTTTCCTTCTGGGTTGGCACACAGAACAGTGCAAGGGTATATCAGTATTTCCATACAGACCCCATCCTTATTCTTGCAGGCACAGACAGGGCATAAGCTTTCTAGGAAGCAGCATTTCTAGTGAGTATAGCTCTGGGAAGATACAGTCTCCTCCCTTGGGCAGAAGAAGAGGAACCTCCACCCTGCTCACCTCTAAGCCCCGTTTCAGCCACCAGGTTAGAAAATTTGTTGAGGCAGGCTGGGTCAGTGTCCATCCAGGTGCCATTGCTGTTAACAAGCCCTCAGCACCTGTGGGGTATCAGGAGGTGTGACCACCCCATTCTCCCCAGAAGGTGTCCAAAGCCCAGGCTCCTTGCCAGGCAGCAGGACCAAAGCCTGCTGATCACATGATGGATCCATGTGAGTGCTAGCACACTCCCAAATGGGAACAGCAAGAGAGACCGTGCCAGGCTTGGAGAGCAGGGATGCTCTCCTGAGATCCCTAACAAGACATGTCCTTCTGTAACGAACAAAAGATCCCCACCAGGCTTCTGCTATGCACTGCCAGTGACCCGCTTGGCAGCAGTGATCCTCAAAAACCAATTATTTTCTCTTTTCTTTTTTTTTTTTTTTCCTTTTTTCAATTGGCCTGGTAACAGAGAACAGTCAGGAATAATTTGTTTCTGAAAAACGAAGTCCTTGTTCCATTAGTGTTCCTTTGTTCAGGGCTTGTAAGTGTTGAGAGTGCAGAGGCTTCCTAGAAATGTGACCCTAAATGGGCAAAAGCCCATCTTGGCGTGGCAAAGCTTGACTGGGGGCACTTGGAGCAGACCAAGTGCAACTGAATGAGGCTGAAGGTGACTTGCAAAGAAGGTGACTCTTGCTTTGCTTTCTCTCGTTCTGCTCTAATTAGCTGCTGTAGCCAAATTGGTAGGTGTGATTGGCTGGCTCCATTTCAAGAGGCATAGCGGGGATCAAAAGATCCTAATGTGCCTGCTTTGAGCAGCTCAGAGTTATCTAGTAGACTGCAGAATTAGGAGGATTTGTCAAGATGAAGGGAAATTTTCTCCTGATGGAAGGGGGTTCTGGTTGCTCTGGCTGCATCAGTGATAAGGTGCAAAGGCCTGAGAACTCATCATTTTAAGAACTTCCCTCTTGCACCTGTTTTCCAGTGTGCATGAAGGGTGCATGCCAGAATCTCCCTGGAAGGCAATTCCTACAGAGCTATGTGAAGTTTCACAGGGGTGAACAAAGCAGGAGCCCCTCCCTCAGATGAAATCTGGTGAGTGCAGAGAGCAGCCCCACCCCACAGTGAGGGAAGGTGCATCATACTGACGCAGGGATAGGAGGCTGCTTTTGGATGAGGTGTCACAGGAAGAACATCAAAACTAGTTCTGGACTGGGACACAAACTATAGGGCAAGGCCAGGCATCTCCTTGCCTAGTGGGTGTGCAGGGAGAGTTCTACAGAGCTCTGCAAAACCCACGTCAATCTAACTTGCCATGGATCCCACATCAAAGCCCCTCTCATTAGTACAGACCCTGACCAAGAAAAGAAAGCTGCTCTCTGTCCCAGCCACTCTTCAATAGCCAGCCCTGTCACAACAGCGTGGCATCAACTTTACTCTTCTCCACCAAGAAATTATAATCCACAGAAAGAGACCTTTGCAAGCCCCGAGCCTTACATTCTTCTGCTGTGGCAAAGAGGGTCCTGCGGTACCATCCAGCCAGAGCTGAGAGATAGAGCCACCTTGTAGCATCCCTGAAAGGGGCTGCTGCTTGGGCTGTCTTCCAGATATGGAGGCCCTGACTACAAGAAAGAGTTGTTTCAATAACCAAATTCTAATGTACCCACTTGGAGCTTTATAGAAAATGAAGATTTGTTTTCTAGACCCTTTTGCCTTGTGTTTCACACAAAATCAGGACAAAACCTACCAGTTTTCACAGATGCCAATGGATTGTCAGCCAGCCAGCCAGCCAGGACCCAGGTCATTGCCCGTTTGAGAGCACAGCTACTCTGCTTTTACAGTTAATGGAAGGATTTAAGTATTTCTTCAGACAGGATGGGACCAGAGCCACAGTGCTATCTCTTTGTTGTACAGACCTCTTCACAGTCCCTGCACCCGAGGAGCTCACTGCACTTCACAGACTTTCTTCCATGATCTTCTCCTTCCAAGAGGATGATAGTGGTATTTTGGAGGGGGAAAAGGATCTGAGACAGAACAGTTCTGAATTGTTCAGAACTGCAGAAGAAATGACAGTGATGCTGCAAATAAAACATGCAAGTTTGCTTCTAGCCCCCAACACTGAGCATGAGGTCCTAGCACTGAAGCAATTCTGCATGTGGCGTGGGAATGGAACAGGGAGCAGGAGGTGAGGAGCTGTGCATGTGGGCTGGCATGACCATGCCTCAATGAAAAGGACCTGTGAACCCAGGATTGATGCTGCAACTTTTTTATTTTATTTTTATTTTGCTTCACAAAGCAAATGCAGAGCAAGTAATAGGAGGAGGAGAAAAGGTGGCTTGGAAAAAAACAAACAACCAAAAAACAAAACAAACCCAACAAAAAAAAAAAAACCAACTGAACCAAAGAGGAGGGAAGAGGCAGCTGCTGGACTATAAGTGGAAAGTGAGCTGCTACAAGAAAGAAGTTCATAGATGCCAAGCCCGCACTAATTCTTAATAAAATACAATACTGAAAATAGGATCTGAGAGTCTCCAAAATACAATATCTTAAGGGATCAGCAATAATACAAAATAAGGTTCATTATGTACAAACGAGTTCTGCTCTTGGTCTCTGTACAACAGTGGGAGTGAGAGGCACGGGGACATGCTCAGTGGAGGTGCTGGGGTGGAGGAGGGCGTGCTTGGACCCGGCAGTGGTTCTTTGTGCTGGGGTGGAGGTGGAGGATGGGAAATGCAGTGGTATCTGGTGACCTTGAGGAGAGCTATGCTGAAAGCCTTCCTCTTCCTCACCCCACTGGCCATGTAGGTATGGCTGCAGCTATCTGTGTCCAAATTTTTCCTAAATGGTGTTGGAGGACAAAACCAAGTTTCAAAAGGGAGAAAAGAAGGATATGAGGGCCCTTCCCTCACTTCTCCTATTCACTGAGCAAGAGCCATCCCATCCTTCCTCTCCAGGGGACCTTCTCCACTCCCAGACTGGGGAAAGAGGAGAGGCTGGGGCAGTGCAGAGTGAGTCCAGGGTGCTTGATGAGAAACAAGTGGAAGAGGAGCCTGCAGAGTACCCTGGCAGAGTGCACAGGGACACGTGTTAAAACATGGGGCAATCTGCCATATCCCAGATCTCCAACACTCATGTCCCACGTTGTCCTTCCATCAAATGGCAGCTGAGGGAATGGAGCGAGGAGACACATGAGCCTTTCTACAGGGCTTTTGCTGGGGAGGAAGAAGGATCAGAAATGGGTGTCTGGGTGCTAAAAAGGATGGCATAGGCTTGAGATGAGGTCGCTTCAACACCAAAATTGGCAAGTCTGGCCTGAGGGATGGTATGGCAAGAGTTTGCTACCTTTGGTGTAAGTACTTAGAAGGAAGAGGTCTAAAACTGCCTTTCATTACCCTGGCCAATTCCAACATGCCACCTCTTTTCTGACAGATGTACCTGTCTCCAGAAATGCCAGTATGTCCTCAGTGGTTTTCACAACACTATGTGTTGTGTGCACACAGAGGATGTGAGGGGAATGATGGCTAATCTGACAGACCTCCAATGGGTTGCAGAGCCTTCCTTGCTGGTTCCTAGAAAGACCCTATTTGGCATGAAACCGAACTGGAGACGGAGAGCTGGGATGGGGGTCAGGTTATGGAAATGTGTTTCACTCACTCTTAAATGAAATGCCTGCAGAATGGAAAGTGAGAAGACCACTGACCTGGTTAGCACTGCACTGTAGGGCCCAAGCTGGGAACAAATGGAGAAATGCCACCCCTGCCAAAGCAGGGGTGCTGAGGGTGGGGAGAAGTGGGTTGTGGGGGAAAATTGTTCTCTGTTTCAGAGCTCTGGTTATCTAGAAGCTGCTGGCTAATTTTTATGGTGATTTATTGGTCTGGGATCTGTCTCCCCCACTCCATTTGTGTGCAGATTTTTGCAGATAGTTGGCGTTATGTAGGCATGTCCATCAAGAGAAAACTAGAGCAAGGAAGAACTAGGTTTTCTCTCAATGGAAGCAGAAATATACTAACTGATGAGGGCAAGGAATGAGCTCAAACTCTCCAGAGCCATCTCTCGAGCACCAGTATCACCCACTCCTAGTACCCTAGGCAGGACAGTAAATCCAACACTCTCTCTCTCACTCTCTCTCTCTCCTTCAGGTGCATCTGATGTAGCCAAGGGGTACACAGCTGGGGACAGCCCCCTTGGTTTGGAGGCTTTGGGGAGTGAGCTGAGTAGTTTGGGGGCTTCCTCTGATCTCCCTCCACTTCAAGGTGAGCCCACATCCATAGGGTAGTGCTCACTTAAGCAGGAGGTAAGGCCAGGAGAAGAGGGTGTCCAGGGCTTCTCCAGACATCTATTGCTGGTTCTGGCAGTCCTGTGACTCCCCTTAGGGAGATCATTACTAATGGGGAGAATGGGGAAGGGGAGGAGCTGAACCCAAGGCCAGTTTATGAGTGTCTGAATGCAGTGCCCTCGCCTGCCAAGTCCCCTCAGTTGCTTGGTGAGGAGGGAATCCTGCAATCTGACAAATGAGGCCTTGAGGTCCAGCAGCTGCTACAAGAATTCAGTTGTCTCACTGGAGCTTGTCTCCCTGAGGAAAAGAAAAGACAAAGCATCAGTCAAGGTTCATTGCAGCCTCCTACGCAAATTCACCTCTCTGTGTGCCCAACTAGTTTGCTCTGACCAGGATGAGCTCCTTCCCCAGGGCACTGAATGGAATGCAAACCTGGGACCACCTGAGTCATCCAGCCCTCTGCAGCTCTATGCCAGTGGGACACTGCTTTATAGAGTCTCAAACTTTTGCTCTAGAAAATAAACTTGTTCTTATGCTCCCTGCCAGCACTGACCTCCTCCAGCCACTGATTTAGCTGATTGCCTGCCCCAGCTGGCTCAGCTGTCCTTAGCTTGCAGCAGAGGGGACAGACTTACTCCCAGACACCATGCTGTATTTTGGGCTCAGAAGGTGGCCCCACCTGCTTACCTCTTATGGAATTGCTCTTTGAGGTGGGTGAGAGTTGTGTCAGTTCGGTTCTGGTCAGGACCCTCCAGCTGTGTTTTGCTCAGATATTTGGCTGTCTCATGTGTCCTGGCCAGATGAGGCCTTCCCTCCTCAGACTGCCTTTTTTCGGCCTCCCACCCCTCAGGATGGTCCATGGTTAGGAAGGAGCTATAGCTCTCTTCTAAGGAGCCAGCACCCTCATCATAGAAAAGAAGGCTCCGTGACTGAACTGGAAAAAAGGAGAGCATTGGTTAACAATGAGGATAAGGTCTCTTGCAATGGGTATGGGTCATGACAGTGGTTTCAGCACATGCTCACCCAGCCTTGTCCATGTGTAACTGTGCAGGATACCCTCCTCCCCCCAGCTTCAGGAGGCAAATGTCCCCCTGGACACATAGTGTCTTCAGAAGACAATCAGTCTGCCCTGGGACTCTTCCTTCATGTTCCTTCCTTTGACACTTGCCATGTTTTAGGACAGCAGTTAGCATAAAATGACAACAGGCCCCAACAAGGAGCTGTTACCAGAGTTTTTACCACTGACAGATTAGGAATATTCCCTTACCACAGCCTCAGCATATGGGATAGGCACAGAGGGGAGGATGCTACAGCTGAGCAGGGACTGTTGGGGAAGAGCCATAAATGGTTTGGCAAGTTGAAATGCAGGAACCACATTAGACTCACTCTTACTAGTTGTGTAAATGTCTGGTGCTGGTGTTGCTTTCACTGTCTGTGATGTTGAGGAGAACTCAGGGAGACAGGGCATCAGGGATCCCAGGATCAGAACGAAGCAGAGTGCCAGCACCTAGAGAGAAGATCAGCACAGAGTCAGTGCCACTGAAGAAATGCCATGAAGAACCATTCCCTCTCACAGCACACAAATATAAGGCTGTGTAAGAAGATCATGTCAGGCTGACAACTGGGTACCTGTGGTGCCCCAGGATGGGAAGGGACTTGCTGTTCTAATCTCTGCTGCAAATCTAAGAAGGGAAGTCAGAAACTTCCTCTTGTTGCTTTATTTGGAGTATTTCTGGTTCAATAGTGAGAACTTGTCCATCCAGTTGAGAAGAAACAGTGGAAGGCGTAGCTGAGAAACAAGCTGAGAAAGAAGGAGACTCAACAGAAGGGATGAATTCTGTCTTGACCAAAGGGAACCTGACCACTGGCTCAGCAGGAGCTATTGTGGGCTGTAAATAAAACAAACTCACTGGGAGAAATCTGTGAGGTACCACAGGACATAGCAAGGTGAAGCTACTATCCACATGAGGACAGAAATGACAGCAGAATTACAGTTGCCTAATACCTGACAGTAAAGATGCAGAGTCCAATGAAAGGGTTAAATTTATGCTTGACATGTAGGTATGCAGGACCACGTGTGCAGGACTTTCTGCTGTCAGGGGATCAGTCAGAGCTACTAGCAGTGATAACAGGAGAAAGGCACATGAAATCTCCCTGGAAATACCCCTCAGGTAGGTCTGGACCTGTCTGGAAATTCTGTTGTAACTGTAAAGCTTCAGAGCGAGATGCCAGTGCTGATTTTAAGAGACTCTATAGAGCTTAGGGAACTGTCAGTAGACAGCAAGAAGGGACACGTGGGAAATGGTACAGAGCTGAATGTTTATTACCTGAACACCCACACCACCAGCTCAGTGCTCAGACTTAGCAGCCAAAGAGGCTGTTGGTGATTTCTGCTACCTATGTAACAAACTAGCTAAGTTTGACCTGGCGGGACACCTGAGGGCACAGCCAGCAATTGTTTGACTGCTTTTCAGAAGTTCACCTATTTCAGAATAGCTGTGCCTAAGTAATGCATGGAAGCTGGTACATCAAGGTAATTTTGACCACCAGTGGATTCCAGGAGATGTGGAAGATAGAATAATAACATGGGGATACTACGCTATGTAAAGAGGGATTTTAATTGTCCAGACTCTTCATGGCTGGTTTTAAAGTAAGGACATTAAATATGGACAGCACAGATGCTGTCTAAGTACGTCATTATAAGGCACACAAGGCATTTAGAATCCTTATTCCACAAAAACAGAGGAAAAAATAAATTATGAATAAATGTTGCTTGGAATTATCACAGCCAAACACACAACTTGCAGAAAAGGGAGCCAGCCCTGTGAAGTCTGTTCTTCCCTTCTAAAATAAAACAGGTTTTTGGGCTGGGAAAGAGCAGTATACTTAACATCTTGCTTTAACATGGCTTTCAACTGGGGCTTTGCAAAACAGGATTGGTTTTGCTCTGTTTTGTTTCAGGTTAACTCTGATGCTCTGATTCAGTTCTAGTTCAAACTTTACAACACTTCATAACAATAACTCGTGTTTTGACTCTGAGTACAATTCATCTTACAGCTTTTGACCATCTCATTATTTGACCTCTTAAAAGTGAGGGAAATTAAGCTTCAAAACCACTTGGAAAGGTGGAGGAAAAATTAATCAAAAAAAGACATACTGAGAGTGTATTTATCAAATGGTTCACTGTCAAACTGTGAGGAAGTAGCAGATGGAGTAGCAGAGAGATCTGTTATGGATCTGGCAAGATTCAGCATTTTTAAGCTTGACTTGAATGATGGACCGAATGAAATCTGCAGATGGGGGAGACCACAAGCAGACTGGCTTTTGGTCAATATTCAAATTCAGAACGATCTTGATCATGAGAAGAAGAGAACGGTGGGAAGATCTATACAGAAAAATGTGGAGACCTGCTGAGACCTCCAAGGTGGCAGGACTGATTAACAGAGGAAACACATCAGTAACTACATGTTTCAGCTGTTCTACAGAAGAAGATCTGGGAGTTAAAATGGAGGACAAGACAGGCCCAAATCAGTGTCACTTTGCAAAAGGCAAATCTCAGCCCAAGCAGAATGAACAGGCTTTCTGGCTGGATCTGTAGTGGCCTTCAGGTGGAACACTTTTGTCCAGCTTTGGGCCCCATACTTCCAGAAAGATTTAGGGCCTTTGGAGAAAGTCTGGAATAGAGCTCTGGGAACAAGCAGTGATTCAGTAGTTCAGCCTACATGGGAAGATTGAAGAAATCATGGTGATTTAGCAGAGCAGACTGAAGGGAGTTGCTTGAAAACAAGAGTTTTCCAATATGTAGAATGCAGCTGAACAAAGGGGGAGTAAACAGATCTTGCTTGGGTAGAAGAACTTCTAAAAGACTTAAGCTGTTGCAAGGGAGATTGAGATGAGATAGCAAGAAAGCTTTATCTGGGAAAGATAACATAGTACTGAAATGGTTTGCCCTAGGAGGCTGAGCACTGCTCACCACTGGAGGCCTTCAAGAACTGGCTGTACAAATATCCAGCAGGAATGACACAGAGCTAAAGAAGAAGGGTAGTCTGCTCCACTCCCATGCTGCAAGGCATGATGATTCTACATATCTTTTGTGATAAGCAGTGCTGTATTTGAAAATGGAAAATGGGAACTAGGAGGCTTAAGAGAGAAACTGACCAAAGATAGAAAAGCAAATTACAAATTCTTGAAATGCTTGGAAGCTAGGAAGCCTGGGAGAGTTGGTGTGTGGGCTGGGATGCCTGGAATGAAGGGAGCAGCAAGGAGAGATAAGACATTGTTGGGATGCTAAATTAGGTATTTTATTAGTCTGTAGCATGGGGGATATCTGGCACCTCTTCTGGACTTGCTTACTCCAGGTAGTAGCATTGAAATTTGCTGGAGCCAGGGGTATTCTGATGAGACGCTGCATTAAGGAGCAATAAGCCACTGGGCTCAGGTAAGTCACACCTGAAAATGTGGAAAGAACTCGAGAATGAAGACATAGAGCAGAGAAAAGAAAAGACAGTCATTAAAATCTGGTCTGACATGGGGGGCAGCAAAGAGTATGAAAAGCCTGAGCAGATTTTGAAAGTGCTGGAAATTATAGAGCAGGGGCTCTGGAACTATGGAAACTGAACCACGAGCAAAAAAACAATCCCTCAGGACACTGAGGATGCTGAGAAAATGGGGCAAGCTTCTCACCATCTGTCTGCATTTCGTGACTGTTAACAGTACAGAAGTGATAACCAGATATAGATAACTGACTGACAAATTTGTCATGACCAGCTACTACGACATCACATCATCCTGCAAAGACATCACAGGGGTGAAGGTTATATTTTTACCATGGATCAGAAACTTTCCCCCAGCTAAAAATTAGATGAAGAATAAGCAATTGACTATGTATGGCTACACACTGGCACGTCCTAAAACTCTTCAGTGAAGCCAATATTACTTAACCATGATCCTCCACTAGGAGAAATGAGAGGTAAACAGGGATTACCAAAATAACAGACAACCCTGATTAATTTTGGTTAGTCAAAAGGGCAAACAAAGAGAATTCCAGCTGGATTTAACAAAGCCTGATGTGCAGGCACAGGAAGAACAGATGCCATTTCTTGGTAATAAACACAAGGTAATGCCCACTGGGAGGAATACTTGGACTGTTTGTCTGCCCTGCTGAGTTAAACATTAAGCATTACCAACTCAGCAAAAGAAAACTCTACCCATTACTATGGAAGCTCATTGAAGATTTTTTCTGAATGGCTAATAGCTAACGAAAGGCAAACAGAGTGCCATTTTGCCCAAAGAACAAGATAGTGAAAATGCAGGAATTATTCTAATGTTGCTGCATAAACAACTGACAACACCAATGTATGTATGAGCCAGGGCCCAGCTCTGGTGACTATAACACAAAGGGAGAGAGCAGATGTAACTGGCAACACAGGAGTGCAGCAGGGAAGAGGGCAGAGACAGGCAATCTACAGAACTGTCTGGAGAAGCATGGCCAATAAGGAATATGGAAATGAAACTTATACCATTAGACAGGTCCCAGTCTGCGTGGAAGCCATTTTATAAGGTCTGGAGACTTTCCCAGCTACCAGAGCCTGCAGCTTCTGTAACTGCTGGAGCAGAGTCCTGTGATAGGAAACAACGCATATCAAAACTTGATAAGGAGGTAGCAGCCAGTAAGCGAGGCAAGAATATCACTACTCTCTTCATATTTTATCTTGATTTTTCCTCCTTCTGAAAACAAGTATCTCCCCTTTGCTATATCTTGCCCAAGTTCTCTGACCACACAGACTTGGGAAGTGAGAGACAGAAAAAGATCTCACCAGCAGGTCCACCACCACCTTCACTGCACCTACTCACTGTTATGAATGTCTGATTCATTTAGGACTCCTGGGTGCCTCAAAGCCCAGCCTGTCAACTCCCAGAGCAGTGGAGAGCCAGGATACCATGAAAACCAAGCTCTGTGATGGTAGCTGAATTTTGTAGACAGGTCAGACCTTCAGCACAGACTTGCCTGCTCCCACTTCACTCACTGACACACTCTGAAGCTCCATGAGGTGGAGAGAGAAATAAGAAACAGTTGTGATCCTCTCCAATTTATTCAGTCTTGGCAAACTCTGCAGAGGAATACGGGCAAAGCCAAATCTTGAGTTCAGCAATTAATCATTCTCTGGCTGCCCTGGTTGGAACATGTGCTAAGGTCTCTCTGCCCCATTTAACTGTTCATGGGTATCCACACACATAAACACAAAACAGTGGTAAGCATTACCAAGAGCTACTGAACCCTTCACTGAGCTGGTGAAGGAATCTGAAATGAGGGAGACTACAGAGCACACAGTTCCCAATGGCTGCAAATTACTGAAATTCAGACTACTGCTGAGTTTGCCTTGGGGAGCGCTGATTGTTTTACACAAGTGCGTTTGAGCTTTTATGAAATGCCAGGTCCTAGGGCCAGGTGATTGCAGGAGAATCTCTTTCCAAATCCTCTTCTGCTCCTTGTACACGTGGAGAGAAGCACACAGTGTCCCACTGGCAGTGCTCAAAAACCAAATCCAATTAGAAAGAACACAATGTGTATTTTGGGAAAAAAAAATCTCCTGTTTTTTCAGCCAGTCTTCTGATTTTCAGGGTGGGGCTAATGCTTTTTCGCAGCAGGGCTGCCCACACTCCCAGAGAGGCCGGGGGGGCAAGCTGTGCCTCATGCATGAGAGCAGCTGCGCAGCTGTATCTCTGGCAGATGGGAGACCTCTGGCTCTTGCACACCTCTGCCGGACCACACCTGACAGCCCCCAGTCCTGGCACCAGTGGCTGGCCTGGAAGCCAATGCCACAGCACTCATGTCATGGATGGGAGGAAGGAATGCAGTAGAGCCTCTAGGAGTTCTCCATGAGCTGTAGTGGCAGCAGAGGAGTCAGTGAGAAACTTGCTCTCTGGCTGTGGTTCTCCCCTTCAATTCGAGCTGATATAAATGAGGCTACAAAAATGAGCATCCCCTTCACCAGCCCTGCAGTTGACCCTGCCCTTGCTCACATCTGCTGCGCCCAGTAAGGAGGAGCAGACTTGGGCTCTTCTCCAGCTCCTGCTGCCCATCCCCACTGCAGGGGTGGGAGTCTTCATATTTGCTTCCGAGGAAGCAAATTCCCCTGGTGATCGGTTGGTCAGCTCTGCATATTAGAAGCACAGGTGCTCACCAGAGCCTTGGGTGAGGGACCTTTGGGGCTGTGGGAGCAGCTTTCTCCTTTCAGGTGAGCAGCAGCAGCAGCAACGGAGATTCTCTGGGCTTGTTTTGCCCAGAAGAGGCTGAGAAAGGGCTGGAACACCACATGCACAAGGATTTACCCTAGATTTGGTGGAAGCTATCTCTATTAGAGGAAGGGGCTTTCCCTATGTTCACCAAGTCTGTTCAGCTTTCTCAAGAGAAACCTGAAACAGCCACAATATGCCCAGGGGCCTTGTATTCCTCCAAAGAGCCCAAAAGCAGAAACAAAGGGTCTGAGAGGCTGGTGTGAGAGGCCTCCCCTGATACATCTGTCCTGGAGACAGCCAGAGACCTGGAGGGCAATGGGGAAGACAGCATGAGCCCAAAGGGCTGCAGGGAGAAGGAGGAAAATATAAGGGATATGGGAAATGCCTTCCCTCCCTCCCCTCACTTCGGAGTGGCCTGGTCATCCCAATACAAACATTCCAGGCTTGCTAACCAAACCCAGCTGCCTCGTTGATGTCACAGGCTAAAAAGCAGTGCCTTGCCAAGCAGCATCTATCCACCAGGAGCTGGGGAAGCCTGCCTTTCTCTTCTCACCCTCCTGCCCCAGCACTCCCTGACTTCCCTTCCTGCTCACCCTGCCCTACCCACAGAAGGTCAGGTCTAGCCCATCTTACCTGTTTGCATTTTCTAAGGTCTCCACTTTCTTCCAGAGTTCATTGTTTTCTGTTGTGTATGTCTCAACCCTATGGGAATAAAACCCATAAGCCAGTTAGTTACAAAGGCCAGACACATAAAGAATGTAGTGCTTGCCTCTCTTGGGGTGTGGAGGCTCAGTAGCCTCATCCATCACCTGCAGGTATGGTCCTGGAGTCAAATGTTACTGGCCCACCTGGTTACTGCCAGCCCCGACAGAGCAGGGATGAGACTGCAGGTGAACAGTTAAATGTGACAGTTCAGGGTTTCCTGAGGTTTGGGAGAGACAGTAACACTTGGTTACAGACAGGTCAAGTCAGGATAGACCCAAAGTTACGCAGACATTTCCATCGCTTCCAAACTCCCCCTAAGGAGCATGAAAGAGGAGGAGGGGGACCAAGTAAAACCTCTCCCACTCAGACTGACAACCTGCCCTGGCTGTGCGCCCTGACTCTGAAATCCATGCCCCTCCGTGCAAACCCTGAGCCAGTTCCGACTGCAGGCACTTGAGGGCAGCAGAGAACCTGCAGGCTCCCTTCTACGGCTTCTCAGCAGCAGTGGTTAGGCTGCAGTTGGGACAAGGGAAGGGGAATGCCTCCACCCCCGGAGGAAGGCAGGCCAGGGACACAGCCTGATCTTGATGGAGGCTTCCAGGACAGCCTCTGAACTAGGCGTTCCGTGCAAAAACTGGGCTTGCAGCAAAAGTGTCAAACTGAATGGTGAAGAGCCCAATTACAGGTTTTGACTAACCAGCTTTTACAGAAAGCCAAGCTGACCAAAGACATGTTCCATTAAAAAAAAAAAAATCACTGAATGCCTCTTGTGGTTCACATTTAAACCTGGCATTGTTTGAAAGCCATCTGTCATAGCAATGCTCCAGCGTAACAAACTGCTGAGTACATACAGGCACCACGCATGGCCACAGCTGGGAAAGAGGCCCCAGCACCAAGCGCCCTGGACCTGCTCCTTGAGCAAGGCCAGCCAACTCCCCAGCCCCAGCTTGAAGGATCTGAGTGTCAACGTGGGACACTAGCTGGAGATTATGTGCTCTGATGCCTGGACACACACAAGCACGCTGAGGTGCTCTGTGAGAACCTGAAGCTGCCTCAAGTCATGTGTTTTAATTCAGCATTTCTGTGCAACTAGAGAAGATAAACAAATAGCATCAGGAAGAAGAGTTAATTAAGGTTGGGTTTGGGAGTTGTTTTTTTCCATTTGCTGATCTCAGATGGTGTTAGGAACTGAGAAGAAGATGGTATCTATACAGAAGCATGAATTTGCTCCTGGATCCTAGCATCCTTCTTTGCCCATTATGGGAATGCCCATTAGGGGTTGCTATTAGAGAAGTTACTTTCTACTCTGTCAGTGTTATGTGATGTCACCATAGGCTTATGCCTGCTATACATGCAGGACCTCAGGGTTGTGAGGAGGAAAACGGAGTTAATGCAGAGAGTGAAAGGGAAGGAAGTGTGGGGAACAAATGTAGTGCAAGGTTTTTCTTGCTGTCAAGTGCTTGTGTGTCCACCTTCATGCGAAGAGAGGGGTAAAAGCCATAGGCAGCACCCTCAGAGAGCCCACTGCTTGTGGGACAAACAAAACAGAAGCAATTCTAGTGGGGAAACAGGACTCTTCCCCAAAATCCCACCTTATTGGTAGCCAAAAAGGCCTGTGTTTTGCAGGGGCCAGTCAAACTAAGCAGTTCGAAACACAAAATTTCTTGAGCAATCTTTATCCCACAAGAGGATTTCTAGGAAGGAGGGGAGTAGGTGCAGGATCCCAAACCAAACTCCTGTGCAGCCAGCCTTGCAAGGAATCATACTTTTTTAGCAATTCACAAAACACTAGAAAGAAAGGCTGTGCATGGACAGGATTCCTTTTTTAACGATAAGACTGAGAAGAAACTTACTTTTTCTCTAGACACTCCACATACTCTTTCTTCTTCCTGCGACTCTCCTGAGCAGAGATCTGGGAGGGAGGCAAGCCATCAGAGAGGAGTCAGCATCATAAGTGTCTGGACATTTTGTGGCTTACGCATCTTGTCTGTTCCCTGCGCACACAGCATTCTAAATGGGGAAGTTGCCTTCCAGTCTGTCATTCCTACTGGTCTCCAGGCCAAAACTGGGAGGGATGGATACTGTGGGTATGCAGCCTTCCTTGGCCTGTAGGCCACAACCATATGTTGCAGTATGTCCCTCACTGCTGAGAGCATCTGTAGGGTTTCTTTGAACTCCTCTGACTCACATGGGTATGTGCTGTGGCCATCTGGGCTGATTCTGCCCCAGATCACTTATGAGTCACCTGGTGATTAATACAGGTTCTCACCATTTCTCCCACAGGATCCTTTCCTATACCAGTATGAAGTCTCACAGCCTCTGCCTGGCTAATGAGCTCTGTGCATCACCCGTTCTGCATCATGCAAGGGCTCTTGTTTCCCTGCCCCACTAGCAAGGCCTGACCAGGCCAGTTTTTCTGATCTGTGACACCTTGGCTTCTGGGCCCTATCAAGGCCACACACTCACAGGACCTGGGCTGGAAGCCATACTTCCCAGATTCGACACTATGCAGAGCAAGCATGGCACCATTTTTATGGGTTGGGAGGCTCATGCTAGTGTACCGAAGGCAGGATCCCACCTTTTCTGAGCTGCACTGCAGCTGAGGAGGTGAGGGTAACTACAGCACTGGTCAGCTGAGGATGCTCTGGAGTCATGGGGACTGGATGATAACATTTTTTGCAGTCACCTTGTTCTTGATTTTCCTCCTGACTCTCTTCAGTGCTTTCTCCTCTGCTTTGGTGAGGGGCAGCTTGGTAGGAATGGGGTAACCCTCGGCAATCAAGGTGCGCTTCTCCTCTTCAGTCAAGAGCAGCGGGCCAGAGGTTCCTGTAATTTCTGAAACACACACAGAGCATCTATCAGTGCCAGAAAGGAGTTCTATCCCTAAAGTGATCCTCCTTAAAGCCTTGCAGAGCATCCAGAGGCTGTATACATCAGAATAGAATACATTGCTTCCCACTGATATCAAATAGGTGCAGGGCAGTTCTTTTTTCTGCTCTCAACCTGATTGTGGGGGCACAGCTCAGCAGCTCCTTTCCTCTTTTACTTGGGAGGGCATCTGCTCTTTTGTGGTGAGGCCGGCTACACAATTGTACTGCAGGACCCTGCCAAAGAACTTTTGGGGCAATGGTTAAAATGGTCTGGTTATGGGAATTCTCAATAATTCCTTTCTCTCACATTAACCTCCTCAGAAAGTCCTCTAGTGTGTAGGCCACTTCCCAAAGTCTGGGGTGAAAGACAGTAATTCCTAAAACAAGGTAGCTGATGGGCGGTATTATGCAAGACTTGTTGTGCCTCTCCTCACTCCTCACCATCCTGTCCCCACATCCCTGTGCTAAGACATCACATTGCTTTGCCAGAGCATTGGAGCTTGAAGACCATAACAAGGGCAGGATCCCCTACGTGAGCCTTGGAAAGCCTCCAAACCCCTCTGAGCACCAAGGAGCCCCGTGTCCCAGTGATGTCCTGCTGCCTCCTTACATGTGGTGCTGTGAGGAGAGGTGAGGAGGAGATGGCAGTAGAAGAGCGAGCAGCAGGCCGGGCTGGGCTGGAGGGAGGCAGGGACCGAGGGCTCTGAGATCCATCGCTGTCGCTGCCATGGCTGCTGGGTGGAGTTGGAGGCATCTGCACCAGGTCATCTACTGAGAAATAAGGAGATCAAGTCAATGGCTCTCACATCACCCTGTTGATAGAGGCATAGGGCCCTGCTGTAACAGAGGACTGAAAGGAGAAGGTGATGAGTTTCACGAGATGGGGTGGGTCTGAGAACCAGGCTGGACTGAGCACTGCCCAAGACAGAAGTGAGACTGACCTCAAATGTGCTAAACTAGGAACTGCAGGAGAGCCATCAGGGGCTTTGCCAAGACACTGAAGGTATTTACAAACAATAAGGTACTACAGTTCAACCAAAATTAAGTACAAAGCCCGTGATGTTCACAAGTACAGGAAGCTCTGTGAGAGAAAAGCTCTTCCAAAAGCACTGCTGGGCTCACACACTTGCCAGCACACTTGATTCAAAGGGCCTCCGGTCACTCAGCTCATTTCCAAGCACTTGAAAACTGTCCCCACTTTGTACTGGAGAGCCCTGGGGGCCTTAATGGAAGTGGGAATATGCCTAAGGAATGTCTCTCTGCGGTAGTGGGAGTTCCTATAGTGCTTTCATTTGTGCATCGGCAGATTTTCAGATGCTTGGGTTTCTTTCAAATTAAACTGGATCCTGAATTTCCTGACTTTCAGATGGTTATTTTTGGATAACTCTACAGTCTCTCTGAGGATTTTAAAGGCACTCTTGCATATTTCCAACTCTGAAGTAGCCTGTTTTGCCTGGGAGTCCCTGTCTGAACAATTCTGTGTGTGGCTGCCGGTCCAGACAGTGATCTGTGTTGGAACTGTTATTCTGTGCCCCAATGCTACCTTGTATGCATGGCTCTGACCTCAGGTGTTGTCTTTTCTCCCTGTATAATAACCATCTATATCTGAGTAATATAGTTGACCAGGAAATTCTATCTTCTTACCTGTAGGTACATTTAGAAACTGGTTCACCTCTTTGGGTTCAGCTTTGATCGCAGGTGCTGGAGTCATTTCTATGGGAATCTGTGGAAAAGAAGCAGAAGGAGCTTTTGGGCACTGCCACCTCCCCTGCCCAAAAGGCTCCCACCAGTTCTGTTCACAGTCACTGCTTCCCTGCTGCCTGTCCTGTCCCACCTCACAGCTCTGCTCCAAAGCAGCCTCTCCCTACACATAAAGGAAACCAAGAGTTCAAACATAAGCCCCTGAAGTCTCAGTTGCTGGGCACACAGAGTGCAAATATGTTTTGCAGAGGAAGAGGCAGGGGCAGATGGATTTGCTGCCAAGCAATGCACTGAGCTGAGTACCTCCAAAAGGGAGATGACTTTTATCCTTGGCAATTATTTTGATAGACTCAGACAGTGTAATTTAAACCAACCCATGCGTTACCATGCAAAGTCTCTCTTTGATCTGCCTTCATTATAAATGGGAATATAGAGGTTATACAGAACAGAAACAGAACAACCACCCTGTCTTGCTCACATGATTTTCCCCAGGGGCCACTGGTCAACTGTTTCCACTTGGAGGGGAATGAGAGTTGAATAAAGAATACATTTATTCCCATCTGGGTTATGCTGCCCCTCAGCTCCCTGGCTTGCCAGCCCCCTGCCCACCATAGGCTGGAGTTTTTACACTAAACAGGCACATTTCAAACTCCTCTGGACTGTAAACACAGCTGAGAGAGCACCATGGAATGGCTGCTAAGCACACAGCAGAGCTTTGAGGGCACAGCAAGTTCAAGCTGTGTAAATAATAGAGGAAGTCTGTGCACAGTTTTGGCTGGAAGAACCCATTTGTTTTGGATGGCTGTTTAATGGGAAGATGATCAGCATGAGTGAAAAAAGGAAGTGAACCCCAGAGATGCTTTACTGTTATCTACTGAGCTGCTACAAGATAGGCAAGGTCTGTGTGAGACTAGTCAGACCTTCTCATCCAACACGGCTGGACTCAAGGCCAGATGAACCGAGCCCTTGACTTACACCCAGATGCCAGTGGCATAACTGTACCTCCTTCAGACAATCAGACTTCTTAAGAACCTAGATATGCCAAGAAGAGTTGACCCCTTGCTTCAAAGAAATAATAACTCCTGCTGCTTCATAGGAAAAAGCAAGCAGGACCTGGATGGGACCTCCATTTCCAGTGAGCAGTTACAAAAAGTGAGAGGCCAAGTGACAAGTCCAAAGCCATAAAAAAGACAGTGGTGAAGGAGGGGTCTATACTCAGGGATAGTGGGGTCACTGGCACCACATTAAATTTACACTGTTTTCTGAAAAATGAAAATAAGCCAAGAGTGGCTATAGAAATACTGGCAGATTGGAGGGGACAGATCTCTATCAGATGCAAACTTAAAGCCTTTGGCTTTTGTGCCAAAGAACTGGGCTTATATTTATCCAAGACTGCAAAGCCTCCTGTGCTGGAGAAAATCCTCGTTTCACCATTTTCTATGGAAGGATAAGCTGTCTTGTAGCTTCACTGCAGAAACCAAGAACACAGTTCTAGCCAACATCAGGAATGCTGCTCCTCTGACTGCCATATCAAGAGGAGAATGACAAATTATGCAGTATCTGGGCTTTGTATCACCTTCTCCTCTCTGTCCAGCAGCTAAATCACCTTGCAGGACCCTGCAGTCACATGGCTAGGTCTGTATTACCAAGGGTGCCGCTGTGTGAGAGCCCATTTTCCCGATGGATCTTAGAAGGGCTCACCTCCTCGGGGACTGGCAGTCTCTGCAGAGGGTTGAGGTTCAGCACTGGTATGGAGCTGGCAGCTAGCTGGGACTCAGGCAGGTCTAGAGCCAGGTTCTGTTCCTGTTTCACCATGATGGAGCAGAGCTTGGGCCCCAGCGACCACACTCCATTCTCCAGCTCTGAAACATGCACAACGTGAGAGTCAAACTCTAGCAAGAATAGGCTAAGGAAAAAAAAAGCCATGCAGACAGCTTCCCCCTGACTGAGGAGGCTGTCTTTCCAGTTTTAGCACTGTCACTACACAAGCATAAGCAGGCCCACAACGCAGAGTACAAAAGGGAGTGAACACCCAGCGTGTAGGGAGCAGACAGGACAGAGCTAGAGGAACTGTAACTCTGCTGTGCTCTGACTGTGCATCCTGAGCTCTGGAGGACAGCTGCAGGGTTTCTTCCCCCAATAATGTCTATGTATCATCCTTTGGAGCTTATTTATATTTAGGGCTCAGTGAGAGGAGGATGCTGGGCTGTTGCTCCTAAGGCAGCATGGCCAGCATCACAGATCTGCCAGGTGTGGTACCAAGAGTAGCACCATCTCTGTGCCAGAAAGCTGGTGAGAGGGCAAGCATGATGACAGTAAAAGGCTGACAGTGCTGCTTTGGCCTCCAGATGATGTTGTGCCAAGTACAAGGGCTTTGCTGCCTGACAGAAGGGAGGAAAGCTCATCTCTGTGGAAGGAAGCCCAATGTGGCACCTGCTTTTGAGGCTGCTTCCACAGCTGCTCCCCTCAGTCTCACCTCTGAGACTCCCTCCTTCACCCTCTGCTGCTCAGTGGAACTGCTGCCTGCAGCTGTGCCCTGCTGCCATTGCCGGCAGGGACAAGAAGCAGCAGTGAGGGAAATGAAGTGTCTGAAGAGAACTTGCCCCCTGCCTGCTCTGTCCTGTGCACATCTGACACATGAGCCTGGCTTGTCACTGGAAGTAGAGATCACAGGAACAGGGATTCAGGCAGCATTGGTTAAACTGCACCTCAGATGCGAAAAAAGACGGCTAGGCAGGAAAGCTACCTGGACTCTGCTCTGAAGTTTTGGTCTTTGCTCTTCAAACACTTCAGCCTGCCAAAAAGCTACTCCTGGCAGTCCTACAGCCTGCACCCTCCTTCTTAATCTCCATCCCTTCCCTTTCCCTTTTTATCTGACAACCAGAAACACATTTGGTTTGACATAGGACAGACTATTGCTAAGCGTGTCATCAGATAATGCCTCAGCTGCCTCCACATGAGGCCATAGTCCAACTCACTCCCTGACCCCTCGGCACTGCTCTCTGCATGCAGCACTCTCAGTCAGACCCAGGGATGTTGCCTAGCTATCTGCTGCCCAGAGCAGCTCTGCAGTGCAGGCCGCAGTGCAGAAGATGTCCTGGCAAGAGGAGAGGGGGAGAAAGGTCCTTCTCAGGTCCAGAAAAGCCTGCACAAACAAGAGTACAAGCAAACAGCTGTTCATATGGAGCTGCCGTGTGATCTAAACTTACAGGTACCTTAACAACTCAGCCTCTGCTGCCTTTTGGAGAGGTCAGGGCAGAATCCTGCCTCTGGTTTTTGCTTGGACAGAGTGGTGTTAAAGTCTGGGCAAGAATTATATCAGTTAACACATTGCCCTTGCCAATGGAATATGTTATTTTCCTGTCTTTGGTCTAGCACCTCTTATTTTCTGCCTAGACAAGTATCTCTAGCACATGCTCATTCCTTCCCACTACCTCTGTGACTGGACATCTTCATGCACAGACACAGCTCCTGTGGCTGCTCTGTGTGTGTATCAGCTGTGAGTGCTGCTTTCAGTGCTGCTGGATCACTTCCTAGAGTTTCCCACAATGCAGCAGGGCCAATGTCATCAGGCAGCGTCTCAGGCAGGGCTGCACTGCACAGGCATAACAATGGAGAGGCTTCTGAGCAGACACAGAGTGGACTGAGTTTTCTCTGTCCTGCAAAGGACACCAAACCTGCAGCTGGTAGTGAAGTCCCCTGGTATGCAGACAAAACCCCCTGCATACCCCTGGTATGCAGACAAGCCCTTTCTGATGGAAGGAGGCAACATGGTACAGAGCCACGAGTGTTTGCATCCAGAAAATGTGGACAGACTTCTGCCTGTCACAGAGATAAGGGACCTTCTTCCAGTCTATCCCACTGCTCTAGGCAAGTTCAACTACACCTGTCAGTCCTGACAGATGGTTGTCTGACTTGATCTTACTGCTCTGAAAGGCGATGAAGCACCCACAGCTTCCCCCATTTAAACTGTTCTATGGTTTCACTATGCCCAGTATGGGAACATTTTGACTTAGTATGATTTGAAGCCTTGTCTTCCTCATCCTCCCTTTCTGTTGCAAAGCTCTGCATTTCTCTTTTTCTCAGAGGTGTGGGGCATCTTCTGTGAGAGCTACTGCTGAAGCAAGGGAGAGCAGACCACCAAGAGCTCTCCCTGATGAGACGACTCAGTGAGAGAGCATACCCCAGTGCTGTCAGTCCAGACAGGCCAAGGAACAGACACCCAAATAAGTACGCACTGTCCTCCCATTTCCTGTCTACATTCTGACCCTGCTCTCTTTCCCACCCTCCAAGATTTATCTAGGGAGTGATTGGGTTACAGAATCAGAAACACATAGGCCCTCAGAGGGTCAATAAGGGACTGAGGAGGAGGGATCTTGTGTGAACACATCTGTGTTCTGCTCCCTGAGGGGATGTTTCAAAGGTCTGGCCAGTCTGTAACCACTGCAGATTTCACTATATGCTGGTGGATGAGGCATGCCAGGAAGCTCCCCCTCTACTCTAGATACTCTGTACATATTGGGAAGAAGTACAACTGAGAGGTATCTGTAGCTGCTCTGGGTTGAGGAGGTGAGTCAAAGAGCAATGAGGAGCAGGCCTTGAACAGGAGGGCTGGCACTAGCCCGAGGCTGGTCCAGCTCCTGCTGTTCTTCACAACCCTGGTTCTCCCTGCTCCTGGCATCAAATCACACCCTGCAAAACTGAGGGCTGGTACTGACAACTGAAGCAGCCAGTCCGTATGCACAAACCATCTGGAAAGCAGACTCTGCTGATAAACGGGGTCACAATACACCCAGTGGCTTGCTCTAGCTGACCCATGTTAGTGGGAACCATGTGGGAAGGGGCAGGATTTGGAAGAGTTTGGAGATCTGCAGAAAAGCTGGGAGAAAGCTGATTAATAGCAAGCCTCAGTCAGCTCCAGACAGAGCAGGGGCATTCCTGAGGAGCTCTGCAGACCAAGCAGAGCTTGCTTAAAGAAAAGCCATTCCTGGACAATTAATTTTAAATGAATGTCTAAAAGGACTGAGACTGGATGGAACTGTGCCAAAAGGACTGCACAGTGTTGCAAATACTGGATCTGACTCAGGGCTTCAGTAGAATATGACTCACATCCAATTACGAGCCAAGAAAGCCCTGCAAGATAAGCTGAATTACTGAGCTGAAGGACTGGGTGCACAGACACTCCTATACCTGCCATATTAATATTAGGCCTTACTTCCTGTATAAAGCTGATCTGCACTCTCAAGAGAGCAAGTGCCAGGTGCATCTCAAGCTCTCCTGAGTTGAGTGCTGTACACTCTGTGCTGGCCTCTGCTCAAGGGTATCAGTGTCACACTCCATTCACAAGAGTCATAATCTTGCCTTTGAGACACAGCAGCTGAAGAAGGGGCATGTCCAAACACAGAGCAGAGGAACAGAAGTGGTAATAAGTGTCTCAGAGAGGAGTCCCTGAGGTAGCTTCATGTAGGCAGTCTTAATTTCACAGCTTTCTACAAAATCATCCTTTTTCCTTCTGTCATTCCCAAGTCTCTTTGCCTCCTATTCATTTTCAGGGGCAAAATAAAGATGTGTTTATTTGTTCATGCTGGTTTGGTTTTTTTTTTAGTTGCCCCCTCAAAGACTGTACTGGAGTTAAAGCTAAGGAAGAAGAAATGTAAGTGGAAAGCTTTTTTGATACTAAGGCAGAGCTGCTTGGCCTGCCATAAGCCTCTCTCCCAGCACCTTTCTGAGTTGCCCCTAAGGAACATGGCAGATAGTTGTGCCCTTTGAAGAGACCAAAGAAAAGAGGCAGCAGAGGCCAGCCTCCTCTTCTCCTGCTTTGGCCTTTGGACCAGAGAGCTGGGATCATTCCTGGCCATTAGAGGGAAGCCTCTGTCCCAGGTCTCACTCTTGCTCAAAGGAATGGCTTTCTTCTGTGTACACTGAGCCTGTGCCACTGCTTTTTCAGGCAGCGTGGTGTCCATCAGCTGTTGGGACACCCACACAGTCCCACAAATTACAGGACTCTCTGCAAGGATGGCTCTAAAAATATCCAGCCATCATAAATTATGTTGAAATGAATTGTTTTAAAAATAAGTCTTGAAATTACTGTCCCTCTCTGTCTCCTGCTAAAAGATCTGCCGGTAAAGAAGCCACTTAGCCTTCCACATGTAGCAGCACTCATGCTTCCTATGTTCAAGCCAAAACCCTGCTGCCTCATGCCAAAATGGAGCTGGATCTAGGGCATCCACACCAAAGTTTGCAGGATCCTAAAGACATTGTCTGTTGCTTGTCAGAAGCTGGCAGCACACTGAACCACAGCCAATTATCATCCTCATAAATAACAGTAAGCCCGGCAAAGGAGCAATGTGATTGTCAGAGCACTAAATGGAAGGAAAAAATGTAGGCTGTATTTGACAACTGCAGATCACATTCCTCCCCAGATTAGCCACGTGCAAGCCCAAGGAGTAGCCAGTTTGTCCTTATACAGGGAAGCCAGCCAGAGCCTCTGCTAACAGATGTGCCCAAAGTCGTGCAGCGTGCACATCTCATGCTCACCATTAGTATTATCTTCAGTCTTGACAGGCACAAGGGGGCTCTGGGGAGCAGAGTCTCCACTGAGGGAATAGCTGTGCTCTGCCTGGATGCCTGGAGTGGGTGGATCCAGGTCCATGTCCAGCAATGGGTTCTTCTCAGTCAGTACTGGGTCATCGAAGAAACTACTGAAGAGGTCATTGGAGAAATCCTCCATGTTGTCGGAGAAGTGATCCAGGTTGTCTGAGAAATGCTGAGAACAGACAAAGGGAGAGAGAGCGTTAGTGTCAACTCCAAGGGGGGTCTGAGAGCCTTCCTCTGCACTGAGAGCTAAACCTTAGTGACAACCCTTTTTGGATGGGAAAAAGCACTTCCTATTCCTTGCCTGCATCAGGTAGACAAAAACACCTTTAATTAAGATAGAAAGGGACATGGTGCTGTACACCACTGCTTGTTTATCTATGCCACAAACACTCATGAAACTTCTATATTCTCTCATCTCTCCCTTTCCCTGTGAGTACCTATCTGCATCTTCCTAGCATCATCTTGCTGTGACAACAAACTGAATAGAGCACAAGGCAAGAAATTCCTGTGATGACAAAATGCAAGTGCGGCAGAAAATCATGGTCTTCAGTGCCTGTCCTTAGTGACAGACACTTTCTCATGTTCTCTGCCAGCAGCAATAGGCACACTGATGCCCCAGAGAACATCAACCCAGCTGCTGATTTCTATCAGAGAAAAAAAGATCAGTTGGATCAACATAACAGGAAGGCCCCCTGTTGTATTTAATTTCCTCTGGGATTTAACAGCCCCTCTGTGGACCATATGAGGTTGTATTCCAGCCAGATGATGCCTGTGAAATTCGGCTCCCCGATGAAGTTTAAACACTACAGATGGGCTGTTAACAACAAACAATCATTCCACTAATCATTCCAGTAACAGTTAGTAAATCTGGCCAGTTCTGCTGCAGAGCTGGGCTCCTGATGCTACAGTGAACCTGCTTCCTTTGAGGCATATCCTCCTTTTCAGAAGTCAAATCACTAACTTTTCCATTTGCAACAACAAAGCATTGGTTGGGCAGGGAGAAAAATGATGGCTGCCAAACACCAGCTGAAAAATTATCCCATTTGTTGGCAGATTGAGGCTTCTGGCTCGGGGAGAGGAAAGAAAAGACAGATAGATTCAAGTGACTGTATTACACAGACGGAACTGTGTAACTTAAATGAACTGGAGAGAGCTCAGCAGAGTCAGACTGGGTCTGTCCCCCAACCCCCTGCCTGGAAAAGCATCTGGGTGGGCAGAAAGGCATTGAAAGCAGTATATTGAAATACCAAGAGCAACAGGGTATGGATAAGATCGAGACAGAGCACACAGATCCTAGAGGGGAGACATGAATGCCAATGAATTCCAGTGTGAGAGCTGAGCTCAGGAAAGAGCCTGGCTTCTAGAGAAGTTCGTGGTGCATGCAGTCCTTTCTTCCCCCAGTGCTAGGACTGAGGGAGGAGGTGGCCATAGGACCCCGGATGCTGGAACCTTTAGGTTCCTGCTCCTACAGGAAGGTATATTTGTTTTACCAGAGCACAGTAGCTCTGTCAACATTCCACTGGCTGTCAGAAGGTTGGGGTGAGGCTGGGGAGTGAAGTAGGCTTTGGCTGAACAGACCCATGCTTCCAACAAGTGGGGGAGGGAGATGGTGAGCTGTAGCAATCTTGAACATCAGTGCCTTTCACCCTCCAACATCATCCCTCATCTGCTCAACTTAAAACCTCAGATGCTCACAGAGCATGCTGGAAGTGAGGGTGGAATCCCTGCCACTTGCATTCTGCCTGACATGAGGTTTCTCTCCTTTTGCCTCCTTCCCACTAGTCCTCTGACTGCCTGGAGTGACAGCTCAACACCACTGTCCAAGGCTTCCCTGAAGGGCAGACATGGCACGTGAAAGTAAGGCAGAAAAGGCATGTTCATGCTAAATCCCAGTGTTGAGGCCCTCCCTGGATGTTTGGGCTGAAGTTTTCTTCACTTGTTCCCATAGCAGACGCAGAGTTGGTGGGGTAGCTTGGTAAAATCTACCCATCTATTTTCAAGTTGCCTAGAAGCATTTCTGCACTTGATTCAAGTGACAGAAAACACCTTCCATCTGTGCAGAGCATAACTTCTTCAGAGGGAGCTGAGTCAGCACATGGAACTAGGTTAGACGGTTATCTAAAACCACTGGAAAACCAGGTTTTGTCCTATCCTACAGCATAGAGGGATAAAGACTTTGGAGTCCTGAGTATTAACCCCAGAGAGCGCCTGCTCATGTAACAGCTGTTCTTTGTCTTGTGTTCTCTAAACAACACAAGCAAACACAGGATATGAACACGATAGCCTTATGGAAAGGGCGAGAACATAACCACAGAGAAGTGAAGGGATTCAGAGTTCTGGCACACCATGGCATAGCAGAGCCGGGATACAAGAGGCATTCAAATCATACGCTGCTGTGACCATCAAAAGTAGAACCACTGTGTAGCCCTGGAGGAGAAGCAGAGCTGGATGGACAGCTGTGGGGAGAGCTGTCTGCAACTCTGCCATGTGCTTCAAATTTCTTTCACAACTGTGCATTAACAAAGGCAGAGGTGGGAGTAAAGAGAGTCAAGAGAATGCATTTATGCAGTAGTTCCACAGATTATCTTTTAGTGGCATCCCACCCACACTTAGAACAACGAACTCTCTCGGTCAGTCAACAATCTTTCCATTGTAGGACAAACCTACCTGGAGGGAAGAGGCGGAGATGGGCCTCTGGCTATATTCCTGAACAAAAAAAATCACCCCAGCAGCTGCTGCGGAGTGAGAGATGAGTAAGGAGTGCAAGGGATCAAGCGTCAGAGCCTTAACATGGGCACCAACACTGGCAGGAGTAATTACAAGGTTTTTGGTTCTTTTTGATATCACAGCAGATTTGTTGGAGGGCCTCACTGCTTGGAAGTGAGGATGAAGGCAACACTGTTCTCCAAAAGACACAGGAGTTAGATCTCCAAGAGACCATTCTCTCCCAAGAGACAGAGAGCTACTGCACAGGACAGGGAAAACACAATAATAATGGCCAGTCTTCGCGAGCGAAGATCTGGGGAAGGTCTTTACACCTTCCAGCCTGCGCATTGGATTTTTTAGGTGAGACACAGTGTGCGTGGAACTGAGCCCACCCTTTAATCCTAAGGTTCATCTGCCGGGGCCAAGCGAGCTTGGACAGTGGCAGTGAGGTCCTCAGGACGTAGGTGGGTTGCCTTTAAGGCTAACGAGCCCCACCTGCCCGGGAGTGGCCCTCACCGGGAATCGAGTGGTCTAGGGAAAACATAGGTGATAAGCAATGAACGAAACCTGCACCTTCCCTAGGACTCCAGAAATGTTGGGGCACCTACCCCCCTCTGGGCTCCTGGGTCTTATCCTCTATCACAATTAAATACTGGCAAAGCTTTCTCACCAAAGCAGCCCCATTTCAGTTCTCATCACTCACACATATACCAGTCCAACATGTCCAAATGCAGATTATGGAGAGAAGGATGACAGCCTATAAGACAGGGAATAACTGTGTTTAGCATCAAAGGGGGCACCAAGAATCCGATACCTTCAAGGAGCGATAGCACCTAGAGCTGACGCAGAGCTGGAGATTGCTATTTTACTCAGAGAAGGTGGCAAGAACCAGAGGAAAGTAGAAGCAGTAAGGGAAAAGCAAAACAAATATAATGACACGGCTTTGTAGGTGGGTATATCCACAATGGAAACTACAGGACCAGCAGGAAGCTGTCACCACATCCCAGGAAGACTGCTGGGTCTCTGGGTTGGCTCCATTCTCTCCTGAATCCAACAGGTATTGTTAATTTTAGATTTCTTATTAGTATAAGGCAGCTGTGCATGCAACCACACGGTAAGAGGAAAAAGAGTCCTCTTGTCCAGATTCAACTGTGATGGACACAGTGAGGAGCAGCCCAGAGTTTATTTTGGATAGATGCCATCAAAACCACTGCTAATTAGCTCACTTTGAGCCTGCTAACCCAGAAGAGAAAACTCTGTCCCACCCAGCCTCATTTTCAGACCTGCACTTATCCGGCAAAACTCAGAGTCTTCAGCCATACTCTTCCTTTGCACATGTGAGAGAGAAGGCTTCAGGAAACTGCATGTCCCAGGGTATGGTGTCTCACGGCTGTGCAGATCATGGCAGAGCACGAGCTTCTGAGCAATACACAGAAGCACATTGACCAAATGGATTAGTAGCTTTATCCTGGCTGGAAGGTCACATGCCAAAAGAAGGTGCTGGATGCCCTTCCCACCCAGAGTGGGGCCAGCACAGCTAAAGGCCTTCATGTGCTGCCACAAAATGACATGACCATGCTAGGCTTTGGGGAGACCTTTGCTAACACAATGGCAACAGTGATCTCAGCAGACCAGGGAAGGTCCAAGAAAGAGTCCCCAAAACTCAGACGTGAAGGAAGGTGGGATAGACAGACATACAGGAGCAGAGCAGGTTCATCCTCTCACAGCCTCTTCAAGACCTAAACTCTTTGAGAGCGCCTTCCAGCCAGCTCCCGCTCCTCAGAGGACTGGCCAAGACATTTGTGACAATGAAGGACTCCACAACTCTATTGAGATTCTCTCAAGTAGATTTTGCGCAGATGGGCCTGGTTTTATTAAAGAGGACCAGTCAACTGGGAAACTTGACCCCTACCATCCCAGCCCAGAGGGAGTGGGTGTGCAGTGTACTGGGGGAAAACAGCTTCCAGATGGGATACGGAGCTCACAGCATAGTCTCATTTTGCATTATTCGCTCCTGTTATCTCCCCCCTCCCTTTCACACCCTCCTTCCTGCTCCTTCTAACTATGCTCCAAAGCCAAGAAATAGCACGAGATGTGTTTCCAAAGCTGTATTACCAGTGAGCGGTCAGGGAGGGGGCAGCCAAGGGACAGAAATGCAATGGTGAGGATGTGCTGGATTTCTGATCCAAGCCTGATTTCTGGCTGCCCATACCCCCACCACAGTTCTAGGAGGACAGGGAGGCAGCGCCCAAAGAGGATTAGCCAGTGTGCACAGGTATGGAGAGGCAATGGCCATCACATCTCTAGGCCCAACAGAGAGCCTTAAGCTGTTATGGTGCACAGGAGAATCTGCTCAAGCTTAGGCCACCTCAGCTATGGGGAGAAAGTAAGAATCTGTCAGCTGCTGGCTCCTGCTCCCTCCCACTCTGGGTGATCGACATAGGCACTGACTCTTCCAAACAT